TTTGAGTGTTGCTGTCCTCATATTTAAGTCTAACAGAAATTTAGCATAACAGCAGGCCAGCTGGCAGCCTTGAGAGCAATGGTAAAGCAGCATTCAGAAATGTGCTCTACGGGGATGTGTATCAACATGACAAGGAAGGTATATTAACATGGGCTTTAGTTTTGTGGAAAGAAAAGAAAGGCAAGAATACAGACTGTGATCCTTTTGTGTGACAATTATGGTCAACAGGTGCCCTGTTACCCTACTTGAGTGAGATATCTGCAGGGAACTCCTGAGAAGATTGAAAGTGCAGAAGAAGTGTTTCCATTTACATAGGTATGGCTATATGTAACATTGTTTTTGAAGTGGAAAAAATACCTACTAGCCCAGGAACAGAACCTGTCCAAAAAAAGAAAAAAAAGATGGAAATTATTTTAATATGATCGATCTATTTGGTTTTACAATGACAAGAGTATCTACCATAGGCAGAAGATTATTGTGTAGAATATATATATATTATTGCATAGAATTGATAGAATTTATAAGGAGCTTTTTGATTTTAATTTCTTTTCTATATTTCATGACTTTGCCAATACAGCAGAAAAGGAAAGTCTTATCATTAATGCAGACTTCTTAAGAAAACATTACCTCAGCTAATGCAAAGTGATGCGACAATGCTGCCAATGATGCAGCCCTCCACACAGAGGAGTGTGTGGTCAGATCAAACCTTACAAGGTGCAAGGACCAAATTACCAGTGTCCGTGACTGACAAACATGTTTCATTTATTTTACTTGCGAAAGGATGCCACCTCCCACAGTAATCATGGGCAGGTAGTCCCTATGAACAATACCATGTGTACTTTTTAGTGTTTGTTTACCTATTTGGAAAAAGCATCTGGAATGTTAATTCTCTGGGTGCTGTTCTGGGAAACAGAGCAGAGCTGCTGTTGCGTAGTTTAAGACCTAAGCAGATGAAAATAGAAAGCCTGATTGCTGGTTGTCTCATCAGCCCTTGTGAAAAGCAGCTGACAGTGTTCATGTTTGGAAAAGAGGAAATTGGAGACCCTTTACATTTCTCCTGGTGTTTCGAATCACAAGAACATATGTGACTGCATGTCAGGAAACATAGGGAGGCTACGGTACTTAAGCCACAATTCAGAGATGTGCATTGTCACACTTTAACAGAATAGTGAACTGGTTAAGAAAAAAAAGCTGCTTTTTTTTTTTTCTTCCAACTTTACCTGTGATAATGGACGATAGGACTTCAGAAGCTCGATGGGGTAGCTCTGGGCTTTCTCTTTTTCTGCCTGATTTTTGTTCATGATTGAAAGTTGAAATTTGGATTTGGCATCATGAATGTCAGCCACCAGACTGGGACTTGTACTGAGAGTAGCTTGCAGAATATCACTGACCATTTTGATTGTGACAAACACCACAGAAACATAACAAAAGCAGTTCTTTCTCTCCTAAGCGTGAGCAGAGTGGTTGCTGGTTTGACACCCACGTGCTTTTCCCTCCCTCACTGTTGCTGTCTTCACACTTTAAGCCCCCTCACAGAGCTTCAGATCAACTGTTGCACAAGATACCTGTCACGTTTCAAGACCAGGCTGTCACACAAAACCTACAGCAGACACTCATCAGGGAGGGCAGATTTGGTGATAATTTTTGGCCACTTCCTGAAATCTGCAAGAAAGGCACTCAGAAAGGCAGTTTTGCAACAAATGCTATGTGTGGTGCTATTGCAAATCAGCAGGATAAAAGAAGGAAAGTAGGTAGAAAGTACTCAGTTCTGAGAACAAAAGAATATTATGTGCCGCCTTTTTAAAATGAGATTCCATTTTTTCCATTTAAGAAGCTATTGGTCTTGTGATTCTGTCACTGACATGCACGCTGTCATCTGGACTTCAGTCTCGTGCTGTTGCCCTGCATTAAAAATGTGATTTTTTTTTTAACATTGTCTTCTGAAACAATATCCAGTTATCCATATGGCACTAAGGATGCACAGCTCCCAGACAACCCTTCTTCTTATATAAACAGTAAAAAAGAACATAGAGGTTATAACAAGAATCTAATAATCTCTAATAATCCTCCCATGGCTCCTGGTAGGGGTGCACGGCCCTCTTAGGGCAGCTTTCAGCACAGCCTGCCTGCAGCTGCCAGGATGGCAGGGCTCCCCTAAGAGACCAGAGGACTCTTTTTCGCAAAGCAGAGCAAAGCTCCCATATAAACTTCAACACATATGAACTTCTCTGATTCCAGTGCCTTTTCTTCACATTTCTCTGTATGCAAAATGGATTTCATGTATCAGCCATATTTAACAATTTGAAGAAGTTGAAGAGAGAACAAAAAGCATTTGGTGCCAGAAAGGGACAAAGAAACATTAGGTGATAATCTGTCTTCCAATTTAGGGGAACTTTTCTATCAGCTGCTCTCAGAGAACTTGAAATATACTTTCTCTTGCCTTTGCAGAGCTGCTGTGCTTTGCCTTCCAAGTGAATGTGGCAATTTTCCAAGCCAAGCTTACAGAGGATAGGAAATAATTCACTCAAATATTTGGCTGGTAGGAATTTAAGCAGTAAAGAAACTAGCTTCTTTCTAGAAAGTCTTGCAAAAAGTGGCCTGATTTACTTATTTTTTTTGACTCACTAATATTTCTGCTTGAGTATACAGTTTGCGAGCCGTAAACATTGTGACAAATAATGAAGTAATCATGCAATTAAGACTCAATTACTTGTGCTGTTAAAGTGACCTCTTGCTCAGTTTTTCCCACATAAGAAGAAATAAATATGATGTCTTTTTCTCTTGTGTTAGTTTATGGCTTGAATTATGTGAAAACCAAAAATGTCATTCTCGTGGTTTTACTTTTGTAGGGCTGCCTAGACCGTGGTCTATCATGAGGCAGTCAGGGTTCACAGAACATTTTACTAGCTGCTCCTAGCATGTGGACAACTGATGAGTGGGGGGATGCAGAGAGGATGAGCTGTGGCTTTTTTCTGTCTCCAAAACTCAAGTCTATTGGGGCAGGGAGCATGGATGGACAAGTTTTGGCTTTTGAATTCTGCAGTTCAAGTGCAGCTGTTGTGCTGAGGCTACGTGGTTTATCATTTGGGCTATACAGGTACAAAAGCAGGAGCTGAGCAGGCCTGCATTGATGGCTGTGGGAAGAAGTGACCCAGCAGATAACTGCCTTGTGGAGTGAGTCACTTTGGAATACCACATCATGCCCACCCCTGTTCCGCAATGGGACTCCAGCCATCACTGCCTCCCTCCTTTTGACCTGCTCTCTGTGCCAAGCCCTGCTCTCTGCTCTCATACCACATGTGAGATGCAACATGCATACATGTGTATCTCATCCTGCTTGGCTGTATGAAGATACTGGTCAGTGATTTGTAAGCCCTGGTCCGTTCTACTGCAAGGCCTTGGCAAAGGTGAAAACAAAGAAGAAATCCTGGCTCAAAGGTGCCATGTAATGCCATCCTGAAGTATAGCTTTGTTAGTCCCTGGGCCCAGGTCGAAAGGGATCTGTTGATCACTAGATAGGCTGCTGATGTCTCATGTCTTAAATAACTTCCTTTAATAGAGGCCTGGGTTGTGAGTCTCATATGGAAAACATTCAGTACATAGGATTTCCATGGATACCTGCTGTTTTCTCCTTGGTGCCTACGGCTCAGATGCAACAGTTTATATAACTGTCAGCTAAATCAGCCAACTGTTCATTCTGGTGGCTAGGGACCAAAGACTCACATGTGCCCAGCACATAGTCACTTTACACCTATTTGACTAGGACTTGCTACTTACAAGACAGCTTGCTACTTCAATCTTGTCTGTTTTCCATGTGGAGTCCCAGGCACCTGCTGAGTGTCTCATAAATGCCCTCAGCTGCTATGTCCTCCACCCCACGACTCTTCTGTGTAAGAGGCTTTTTTCAGTCTGTCTGAAATTCAGGATGCAAGCCTCTTTTGGGTGAATCAGAGATTTCTGTCTTAGTGCTCTGTCACATTTTTCTCCTTGAGCTCTTTGCCACTACAACTGCTTTATCTGTCTGCTTTTCACTGCAGCAGTACCACTGATTTGATTCTGAGTGGATGGAGCTGGATCTGAAGTGCCAGAATAATCTATTTCTCCCATGACATGTCTAGCATGTTAAAATTAAGCAATAGCCAACTTATATTTGCACTTAAATTAGACTGTAATAGCAGTGTTCTTAGGGGACCCTAATAAGAACTGAAGAATGACACTAAATCAATGGACTTCGTGTTATAAATACTAAACTAAAATTCAGATGCTAAGCCCAATGGACTTTGTTTGAACTTGTTAAAATAGGATTTCTACAAAATAATGTTGTCATGAAAGAGTTTTACCTTCAGGTTTTTAAAAGTATCTCTTACTGAGTAAAAAGAAGTAAAATAGAAAAGCATTATTTGTTAAAAAAATATAAAGAAAAAAAAGATGCGTGTGTTAGCACACATCCCATGCAGCGTGTGAATAACTTGGTTTTCTTTTCAGTTTAGTCAACTTTATTGAATATTCCATTCTCTCCCAATACAGTGTATTTCTGACTTTATGTTTGGTCTGAATTACTCTTCTAGCTTTGTGATCCACACGTGCTGATATCTCTTCTGCAAAACATTGAGGATCCTGGCTCATTCCATGATTTCCTTTCCATCAATATTAACACTTTCCATTTCCACCCCTTACAAGACAGCCTAAATAAGGCAGAATCCTTTCAGTCACAAAGACAACAGAAGCTATGCCCAAAACCCTTTTCCAGAGAGAAAAGGGTAAGTCCTCATCACTCCAGATGAGTTAATGAGGACTCTGTATGAAATCAGTCAGACTGGTCGTTACAGGTCTCCATCACTGCGCTTTCTTCTTTCCCTCTCTGCCTGACTTTTAGATATACCTTTAGATTTCCCCTAAATCACTTGCTTCTGAGGATGTTGGCCTGCCTTTGGCTGGTTGCATTATTAAAAGAAGCTCCTTGTCTTTGTGTAATAAGTGGGTTTTTTGCCTCTTTTCAGTGACGGTTGGGCAGACAGAGATGAAGTCATTGAAGGTTACGAACCTGAAGCAAATGGAGGCATCACTATCAAACTGCAGTCTCCAGAGGTCTTGTCATTTGACGACTACTACCTGAAGCTGCGCCTGGACACCAACACCCGCAACCCCTGGTTTCCTGAGTTCTGGCAGCACAGATTTCAGTGCCGCATCCCAGGGCACCCACTAGAGAACCCCAACTTCCAGAAGAACTGCACTGGTAACCTGTCAACTATTTCCTCTTTGAATCTGTTTTGGCAAAAAGTTGTTGTTCTTTTTTTTTGTTTTGCTTTGGGGTTTTTTTTGGTTGGTTGGCTGGTTTTGGGTTGGTTTTTTGTTTTTGTTTTTGTTGTGTTTTTTTTTGATGTATAAATCACCAGTGAAAAGTGCCAACCCCAAATTGTACAGATATAAATCCCAGCTCTGGCATGAGTATGTCCGGCTCTGGTTTCACAGCCTCTTCTCAATTTAGTTCTGCTGTGTGACAGAGTGACTTGTTCCCTTTTCATGTTTTAGGCCTATGCTGAGGCTGACAAGAGTATCCAGTTTTGTAATATGGCTTTTAAAAAATAAGTAACCATTAAATTTTGACAAAAGTAGGAACAAATTTAAAGTATTTTTTCTGAAGTCAGCTTTTCTGAATAGCTGAATAATAAGCTTATAGTATGTTTCCACTATATAGCATTCATCTAAAACCCACACTGTCTTACAGATAGAAGTAGATCTCACCTTATAGCAAAAGAAGTGTAACTGTGCATAGACAAGTTTTCTTCCATTGTAGAATCTGAGAAAGTAAACCAAAATATTTCAGTAATTTATTAGTAAATTGAGATTTTTGTAAAATACTTGCTGAGTATTTTTTTTTCAAATATTTTGTCTGTAGTTTACAAATGTTTCTAGTCAAAAAGGTACACTCTAATAGTAAGGAAGTTATTGTATTAGAAAGAAAACTAACAAAGCCTGGCTTCCCTTGGCTTTCTGTCCTATTCTTTACATCTCCACCTCTTCTATCTAATAGCAATAATCTCAGTTGGTTTTCATGTGCTCCTGAGCTGAATTTTCATAGTGTTCCTAGTTCTTCCTTTCTCCATTAGTAACACTTAACAATAGCTTCCACACTACCTTTTGTTTTTCCCCAGTTGTCACTGACTCAAAACTTTTTTGACGTGCTGATGGGCAGACAGGCTGGCCCATGTGGGTGCTGGGTGGCTAGCAGCAAGACAGATGGGCTAAATCAATGTTGAATTTATACTGATATTTTTTACTCAAAGGAGTCATTAGCTTTGGACTCTACCAAAATGTTGATTTATGGTATATAGATTTAATTGGCTTTGAGACTGCTTCAGCTCAGACAAAGGAGTTAATATAAGCAAACAAGGGCAAAGATTACTAAGGAGGGGTTGAATGATTGGTGCACAGTGCAAATGCATAGCCTGCCTTCTTAAGAAAAGAAACTTTAAATTACATTGCTTTGTTCATTCCATTCACATAAATTTCATGCTGATACTCTCTAAAACGGTCTCCTTCAGAGGAATCTCTGCAGCTGTTGTAAACACTGCTAGTTTGTTACACAGCCTCTGTTCAGTTATGAAACTAAAAACTTTAGTCTGAACCAGCATAGTCATTCTTCATCTGCTGCATCAAAGGCAAATACCAGCTGGAAAGTTCAAAATGATTGAGATGGGGCACTTCTGCACTGAATGTGCAGATGAGTTTTCAGATAGTGGTTGCTGTAGATTCTAAAATTGTACTTGAGCCAAAAAAGCAGTTAAATAAATTCATGGAAGAAAATTAATGAGGACCAATTTATGGAGAAAAGCAAGCAAGCATACCTACTAAACCAAAACCACCCCAGACTGGCTTGGGACATCCCAGGGTTGAAGCCACTGGACACTGGAAAGGACGCTGCAGAGGTACTATTACATTCTTGCCATGATGTTCTGTGCTTCTCAAAGTTTCAGGTATTAGAGACATGAACCACTACATTCTGATAATACTAGTGGAATACAAGCCCATTTGTCTACATTGGTAGATTCTGACAGTAAATAGTCACAATTCAGTCACCCAGACTTCTTCCTCTAAAAAGCTTTAAGTTTTTGTATGAAGCCTCAAAATGTGCAATACTTCTTAGGCTTTGCTGAGAAACAATCAGCTCTTAAATTTGGTAGTGAATAACCCTCAGGCTTATCACACACAGTGAAGAAGTTCATAAACATCTCAAAACACTTATCACACACAGTGAAGAAGTTCATAAACATCTCAAAACACCAAACAGAAGCACCAGGAAGTATCCATTCCCAGTAGTGGTGTACCCACAGAATCAAGAGACCTACATGTCTCCAGCAAGTATGGGGGCAAGAAAATATTGTATTATTTTTTTTTTAACTGCACAAATCTGACTGGCGACTGTCTGGCATCACCAGAATTTTCTGCACGTGTTTTTATCTGACCTTTCTGCAAGGTTAAGAATGTAATTTCAAATGCTAGCAGCTTCAAAGCTTGCTGGTGGAGCCTTTCTCTCCAAGAAGTTATAGTAGACAGTGCTAAGAAACCACTGCCTTTACCTCTCACAGGTTTGGAAGCAGACCTTTTGGCAAACTCTCTGCAAAAAGGAGTCTGAATTACTCTTCCCTCTTTCGCAAAGTATCTCCACGCACAAACTTGAAGGAAAGGATCCATGCTGCTCAATAAATAATAAGCACTAATATTTGAAATCCATTAAAAGTGCCAGTAGACAAAGTTCTGACTTCTTTGCAGTACTGCAGATTTAAGTATTTCTCCTACTACTGCATCACCCCAGCAAAATTATCTGTATTCAATACTGGTATCAAGCACCTTTACTCCATTATATCTAAGAGCTTTCACTCTTACCTCACAGTATTCCATCAATATTCCTGTAACAAGGTACGTAAGGTCCTGCATTATGGAAAAAGCTGAATCCTCTGTGGTCCCAGGAATCCTTGCACGTTATTAGCATGGGCAATCACCATCTCTGGAGCCTGATCTGTTCTGTATTCCAGAAGTGCACTGGTAGTCCTTACTGAGAACAGAGCAGACCCATAATTTTCAAAGTCAGCAAACTGCTCAACTTCATCTTCCATGTCTGGAGAGTCAGCATCTCAGGAAACTAACGAAAAGGAAAAGCAAGGACAAAAATAGTTGTGATATTTAAGGGAGCATCGTGTGTTTGTATTTACCCAGCAGTAGGTTGCCTAGGAGCACCCAGAAACAAAAGAAAAGGAAATGTTGTTCTCCAACTACCTTAATTTTAAAAGACTCAGAATATCCATTTTGAAAAGGAGATTAATGGCAAAGTCTGTATTTGAGAATCTTCAATTGCTGTCTGCCCAGTATAATTTGCTCGTATACAACATAATCACTTTACTGAGTGATTTATTCAGAATTGCCACTGAAATGTAAAGTTCAATTTTTAGCATTCATGGATAGGCAAGGATTTCTTCTCAAGCAATTATAGCTGCTGCATTTGCAATTTCTCACACCTTGTTGCTGTTGAGTCAGCACTAGCTTGGGATTGCAGACTGTCTATGAAGCAAGGGAAAGCCCATTCCTAGAAATCTCCCTTCTCCAATGACAAAAACTACTGCTTGAATTTCCTTATTCAGTTCCTGAGAAGACTGATGTCCTTCAGGAATGCTCATGTTCCGCTGAGATCGGAATATACATGTATATTTTGCGGGAGGGAAAGTTTCTCTCTGAATTAAGTACTACTGGAAGGATGCAAGTCCAAGGGCATTCTACTCTGTGAAGTCTGTGGGTTGCCTAACAATTTTCCATGTTTTCAGAATAGCTTATCTGGATGACCTGTGTCTATGTGGTAGTAGCACAAATTCTTGGGAAAAGAAGATAGTCATCAAGAGTAGCAGTGACTGCTCTTTTGGATTATCCCTGCTTGCAAAAATTGAAGAACTTACCTTTCACACTTGGGTGGTGGCCAAATGAGTTGGGAGCTGTTTTTGACTAATTCCTTGCTAATGTTGTGGCCAAAAGCCTTTCATTTAGAAACTTTCTTGTATGTAGATGGATTGGATCTGGCTGGGATGGAGTTAACTTTCTCTGTAGCAGCTCTCATAGTGCTGTGCTTTGCATTTACAGCCAGAAAGGTGTTGATAACACACCAGTGTTTTGGCCACTGCTGATCAGTGCTTGTAGACGATGGAGGCTCCCTCCACTTCTTATTCCCCTTCTTCCCTGTGAAAGGACAGTAAGCTGGGAGTGGGCAAGAGGCTGCGAGGGGTCATAGCTAGCACAGCTCACCCAAACTGACCAGAGTTCCCATACCATATAATGTCATGCTGTGCCAGGAAAGCTAAGAGAAAGGACGGGGTCAGAAGGGAGCATTCATTATTAGGGCATTTGTCTTCCAAAGAAACTACTACATATTGATGCCCAACTTCCCAGGAAGTATCTGGACACCACCGGCTGATGGAGGTAGAGAATATTTTTGCTCTTCTTTGTTTCCATGCATGGCCTTTGCTTTTCTTTATTAAATCCCCCTTTATCTCGACCCACAAGGTTTTAATTTTATTTTCTCTCCCTTGTCCTTCTGAGGATGGGGAGTGAGAGAGTAGTTTGGTGGCCACCTGCCAGCCAGCCAAGGTCAACACAGCACAGTAGAACAGAGATACTTGTCATGAACATTCACCTGTAGTTTCCTTGATAGGATAGCAGGCCCAAACCACTTCCAGTACAGTTCATGAACTGTCCATGCCACTATGGTACTTTCAGTGTTTTCCACATAGAAGCTACATTCTTTAGAAAACAAAGCATATCCTGCAACTCTGCGTGGACCCCTGACTCATTGTGGTTTCACAGCATTCTTCATACCCTTCAAATGAAAAGTCAGGACAGATCAGACTGTTTTAGCACAAACAGAAAAAAAAAAATTAAAAAATCTGTTTCTGAATTGGAGATACTAAGAAGCTACCTAAATCAGGGTGGATCTCACATTAAGTTCCCTTAGCACACAGCCCAAGCAGTAGTCACAGCTTGTTTCTGTTCATCAGACAATTCAGGCTTTTCTGCATTTCGGAAATTGTATGGAGGTTGTACCCTGACAGCAAATGGTAGACTGGTGATAGACGGCATGTCAGGCATACACAGTTCAGGTATCCTTCCAGCAGTTCTGTAGGATGTTTTCTCTTTCCTGATCTGACAGAAATAGCCTGAATGGAAATGGTTTTCTCTCCACAAAACTACAGT